ACGCCGGCCGCAGAGTTCGCCGTCGCCGCTGGGGCCGGGTTGGTTACGTTCGCGGCCGACGCCACCCCACCCTCGGGCGCGTTCCGCGTTTGGACCCCGCGGGAGTTGCCGGGTGTCTGCACCGAGACGTGTGCCCGGCGGCCGCGGGTCGCCGTCGGGTGCGCGGTGTCCTCGGTAGCGACCCGGAGCCCGTGCCTTTCTTCCAGGGACGCGACCTCCGGGCCCGAGGTAGAAACCCTACATGTTTGGTGCTTCCCCAACTTGGGTTTAAATTAACTGGAGGCTCTCACCGAACAAAGTAAAATCATTTTTCAGTCTTTACAGCTAGTTTTAATTTTTCTGTTGAGTAATGGCAAGAATGATGAGATGCCCATGGATAGAAATGACCCGTGATCTCTGTACTCACACCAAAAAGACCGGCTGGCCTGTGGTCAGCCAGGGGGCTGCGGACACAGCAGTGGGGAGCAGTGGGGGGGGGACCCTGATGGCACAGCCTGTGCTTCCCAGGGTCTGCCCGACCAGGTAGCCAATGAGCCGGCAGTTGAGAATAAAATACTTTTGAAAGATGCTATTCCATATAGCATCTTTTTGTTCAGCCCGAAAGAACTGTACTTACAGAATTATTTTTAAAAACTCTTTTATAAAGCGTTCAGGCTAGAAGGATTTGAGGGAAGCGGAACCCGCTGGTGAAAAAGCTGCTCATGGAGGTATGTTTCAAGTTTATGTGACTAACGCATGTTACAGGGTTCAGCAGATGAAAATACTCTCATCTTGCTGAAGTCATCACAACGGAAAAAGACTGCGCTGATACTAGATTGTTGAGAGCTTCTCAGCCATTAGTAGTGATTGGGCTTTGCTTATATAGGGCTCACCCTTGGACCTGTCCATGTAGCAAATACATACTTCTGTGCCCTTAATAGCCTAAACCCAGGTCTGCCATCAATGTGTCGTAATTCAGGATTTGTGTCTTTTAATGAGGAGATTATCATTTGGGGCGGGAGGATCTGATTTTAAGTTTAATTGATATTCATTTGTTTTATTGTCTTATTAACTTAAGATTTTACACTTTTCTAGCAATCTTTGTTTATTGTTAAAGATGCGGGTCAGTCAGTTTTGTATGTCTCATTCTGGGCCAGAAATAATAAGGAAGTTTCACATTCCCTATAGCCTTCTAGAATGTGGTTAAGAGATGTGAGTCCAAAAAGAAATGTGAGCAATGTACTAGCAGATCTTTAAAAAAGGGGAGGGGATTCATGAGTTAGAGATCTTTGTTTCACCTTCTTTTGTATATCATTTCCATCCTGGCACTGGCTTGGTACTGGAGGTACAATGCTGAATAGGATACTGTTGCTGCCCAGTTTTCAAGGTGTTCATAGCGAAACTGTTGGGAACACTGTAGCAGTTGGGATCGAGGAGGAGAGGCTCTTAGCTCAGCAGGCCTGGTCATGGAGGGTTTTGAGGGGAAGATTGGGACAGTGACAGTCAGAAAAGTATGAAAGAGTGTTTCAAGCAAAAGGAATTTGCATTTAAATGCAGGGCAGTAAAATTTCAGTCCATATAGAAAACTGCATATAATCATGTTTTACACAAACACTGGTATTTAAGGGGAGGAAGATGGAGTAGAACCATCCCAAGTGGAATTCCTGTGGGCATGGAGAAAGCCAGGAGAAGGATTTGGTATATGGTTAGAGATACACCAACCAGAATGTGACTTACCAGCTGCCCATTAACATTATGGTTATAAGTAGCTTATCATTCCTGGATAGAGATCCCTTAGGAAAAGAATCAACCAAAACAAGATATTTTAATTTAATTTATTTTATTTTATTTTATGTAGTTAAAAATGTATGCTCAGTTTCTGGGGTAGTACCTGGGGAGGGGGGGGCATTAGGATTTTTTAAAGTTTCCACAGGTGATTCTAATGTGCAGTCAAGTTTGAGACTCTTTGATCTATGATGTTGATTGTAAATATAATAAAGTCCTATATATGTAGATTGCTTCATCTGTGTCCTGGGTGAAAGTTTGTCTTTGTTGATTTATTTTCCTGTTGAAGATCCCTTAATGTTTGATTGTTGATTGTGAGCTCATCTTTGCAGTTCAGATTCCTATTTCACTTTCATTGTTTCGGCTTGTACAGTTTGCTTAAGGGGAGGGTCAGCAGCAGCTGCTGGGACTAGTTTTCTATTCTGTTCAGTGATAATGGGGGAAACCTCTATGGGCAGAGTCCATTGTCATAAGCTTTTTCTTTTGTACTTGGTGACAATGGATATCTTTCTAGTGTATGCATTGTTCTCCCAGAAATTAGATTCCTCCGCCACGGCTGTCTTGCCTTTGTGAGAGAGAGGGAAGGTAAGAACCTGCCAGTTCCCACTCTATTGCTCCATTATTGCCCGTGTTTGTAGCCCTGGACCCACTTTGGGTTCTACTACCAGCTCTGCCACCACTGTGCATGGAAGCCCTGTTGGTGCTAATTCACACGACCACTTAGCTTTTCAGTCTGATTGCCTGTGCATTGTTCTTAGGAATTCCTCAAAGTTTCTGGTGCAGTGAGATTTTCCCTGATGGTTTGTTGTTGTTGTTGCTGTTGTCGTAGTTTTAAACAGGACTATGTATTTCTTAATTGTTTCTTTAAAACATTTTTCTTATTCTCTCCTAGATTTGGAGCAGCGTAGTTAGGGATGGGGGCTTAGGGGGTAGAGGGGTGTAGACTGCTCTGTGTGCTCAGATTGAAGAAACCAGAACACAGTTTATTGTCTGTACCAAATTAAAGACCATGATTTGATTTATGTATCTTTTATGTCCTCTCCTAAAATATAGCACGGTGTTACGTACATAATGGGGACTCAGCAAGTATCTGATTAGGTTTTATTCAGAAATGGAATTAATTGTTGAAATTATTTCTTAAACTGCACTTGAAACCAATTTTTAATTGTTTAAACACCTTTTTTTTTTTTTTCCAGCTACATGGTTGGAATAGGTTGAAATAGGCACCAACCATCGCTATGACTTTATGACTTAATCTCTGTGAGTTATTCAGTGTTTCATGTAGGAATAGGCTATTATTTTGGGAAAAGTGTCCTTTGAGGCCTACCTCATGTAGACTGCTTTCAGACCAGTTTCCCCCTTTGAAATAGCAAAGCTCTCTTTTCCTTTTTTCCATACATTTTATTTTTGGAAACCAGTGAGTTTAGTTTATTTTTTTTGTTTCATTCTTTATTTTTTAATTGAATTTATTGGGGTGACATTGGTTAATAAAATTACATAGGTTTCAGGTGGACAGTTCTATAATACATCATCAGGATATTGTATTGTGTGTTCACCACCCAAGTCAAGTCTCGTTCCATCAGCATTTATCCCTCTTTACCTTCTGCTACCTCCCCCCGGCCCCCCTTCCCTCTGGCCATCACCGTTCTGTTGTCTGTGTCCATGAGTCTTTCTTTTTTCTTCTTTGCTTAATTTCTTCACCCTTCTCACCCTGTCCCCTGTCCCCTCCCCTCTGACAGCTGTCAGTCTGTTCTCTGCATCCATGAGCCTGTCACCACTTTGTTTTGTTCATTAGATTTCACATATAAGTGAAATTATATGGTACTTATTTCTCTGGCTTATTTCATTTAGCATAATATTCTCCAGGTCCATCCATGCTGTTGCAAAAGATAAGGTTCCCTTTTTTGCGGCTGAGTAGTAGTTCGTTGTGTAAATGCACCGCAGCTGTTTCATCCACTCACTGCGTGCAGTTCAGGCACCCGTACATTTTTTGTTCTCTTGTTTTATCTGCTCCATTTCCCCTGGTTGCCATCATCCCCTTATTCCTTGCCCAGCTATCCCTTTTAACCTTTTTATCTGCTAATCCACAAAAGAAATGTATTTCTATATTTTTATCTTCCTCTTTTGAAAGATATATTTTTGGGGATTTTTTAAGGTATGTAAGGATCAACTGAAGTTTTGTTAACCATTTGGGTTTATAAAACAAATTTGAAATTCTGTAGTGATGATAATTTACATGTTACTAAAATTCTTCCAAGTATTTCCAGGATATTCGAGAGATTTACTTTACTGTCATGCTGCTCATTAAATGTATTTTTAGAATTTATCTTATTTTATACAACATATCATTATTAAATTTATCCATTAATGACCAGTAAGACCATCAGAACTTGTGTGCTACATGAATTATGGTCAGTGTGTTCCTTAGCTATGTTTGACTTATTAAAAATATTATCCATTGCTTTCCATATCTCCAAAGATTTCACATTATGTATATGCACTACTAATTTATGCCAAATTTCTCATGGGGAGCACTTCAACACTAACATTATCTCCTGGAATGCCTACTGTTGCATTTGTCTTCTAGAGTTCACATTTACCAACCAAGAAAACGTGAAAATGAGCAGCCGACGGAAACGGGCTCCCCCAGTGAGAGTGGACGAAGAACGGCAGCAGCAGCTTCGTTGGAACATGCATGAGGACAGAAGGAATGAGCCTCTCACCCTAACTGATGACGAGCAGCCCCACCCAGCTTCAGATTCCTCTTCTGCTCAGTGCATCGTCCTAGACGACAGCCTGAAGGAAGAAGTGTGTCACAGAGATAAAAAGAGGTGCTCAGAGACAGTGAGCGTCCCGAAGTCGGCCAGTAGAGAAGACACTGGTGACACCTTTTTCCCTTTGTCTGTAAAGCTGAATATTGTGATTTCTCCCTCTCACTTTGACAATTCTTGGAAAGCACTTCTAGGAGAATTCACTCTTCAGCTTCTTCCTGAACAGAGTGTAATTGAAAATTTTTCTGAAAGGAGTTTTACACTGATGAGTTCAGAGTCGAGCAGTCAGTTCCTGATCTGTGCTTGTTCAGAATGCATAGACACAGAGAGACAGAAAAAAGGGCTCAGCGAGCCAGTCGGTGTTTGTGACAAGGGTGCGCGAGTGGAATCGTCCTTCAGTGGGGAGATGTTAGAGGATTTGGGATGGCTGCAAAAGAAGAGAAGAATAAAGCTTTACCACAGACCAGAAGGGAATCACGTTATTAAGGTACTCGGTTTCTGTGGGGTCTTTAAGGTTCTTCTGCATGGGCAGTCCTCTTCGAAGTTCCCTTAGAAGGAAGGTTTGAAAAGCCCGCAGTAAACCTCTCATCAAGTTTCAAAGTAAACTTTATTTCGGGCTTTCAATAGCCATAAAATATATGTACCTATATTATAGCTAATTATTTTCAGGTTGAACTTTTTCAAGGAGATCTTCTCGAGTCCTCCTCCCCAGCTCTACTCTTTGTGACTCGTTCTGCTCTTCATTTCCCTTCCTCTTCCAGTAGCAGTCCTTGGGCCATTTCCTTGCTTGCCTTTTCAACTCTTTCATCTGCTTTGTCTCCAAAATAGTATAATGTGAAGTGCAAGTGGAGTTCTGTTCCTTACTGCCTCAGAATTAAGTCTAATCTGGGTATAAGTCTTCCCTTCGGTACACCTTTGTCTGCTTCTCCAGCCCCACCTTTTACCACTCTGCTTTTTGTTTTGCCCCAGAAATTCCAAATTGATTTGTTTCCTGTATATTTCCTGTCATCTTTTTGCATCTTTGCTTTTGCTTTCACAGCTCCCTCTGCCTGGGCTGTCCCCTTCCCCTTCCCTGATAACGCCTGGTCATTCTTTAATATTCAGCTCAGAGCTTACTTCATCTAGGGAGAGCTTTTCTCAAACTCCATGGATGGTGGTAATGTGCCCTTCCCCGTCAGACCTGATGCATATGCTTAATTTTGCTTGGTCGCTTGTAGTGTACTTACATTTTAGATCTTTATCCCTCCCTAGACTGTGAAGTCTTTTATCTTCACAGCCTGGTAAAGTTCCTGATACTGAAGAGATTTTCAGTAAATGAATGAATAAATTTATTATTCACAGGAGTTGGTTCTGCTACTCACTAGCCAAGGTGTGTGAATGTTTAAATGCTTTGCCACCCATTCCTTTGTAATGCTGGGTCGGAGTCTTGCTCTTTAGAGAAAGAAAATGAGAATCTCGGTGATAAGGGAATCAGGTCAGGGTAATAGAGGGAAATGAAGGAAACTGCACTTACCTTTAGGAAGGTTTTAAATTGTATCATCTGGGCTGTCTCATACAGGCTTCTCTCCATTTTCCAATGACAACATTTAGGTCAAAACAAATAAATTATTTTTTTGTTTATTTAGCTCCTAAATACCAGTGCCATTATTCCAATTCAGGTATTTAGACTAAAACTTTATCCTGCATTTCTTCACAGAATCAAGATATAAAACATGAATCAAGTTCAGTTTTTTTATACACTTAAATGTTTAATCTAGTAACAGGGATTCCCAAGTCTAACTCCTGGCATGTGCATCAGCATCTTCTGGGAGAATCTGCATTCTTAGCCAACTTCACTGATTATTCTGATGCTCGTCAAGTTTGGAAATCATTGACTTGGTGGGTAGAATTGGTGTTCTTGTTACATCTTCCCAAGTTTGGTTCCAGTTAGGGGAAGTATTTTTTTCTAGCAACTTGAATGGTGCATCGCACATAGTAGGCACTGCATTTGTGGAATGAATTTGTTATTGAAAGTGAAAATACATGAGGGAGATTTGGTATGTATATATTTGGTGTTTGTGGGACAAATAGTGTGAATATTTTTTTAAATGGTGATGGTAAAAAAATTTTTTTTTTTAATTTTCTCATAAAGAGTGGCATAGGCCCAGCCGGGCATGGCTCAGCAGTTGAGCGTCAGCCTAGAATCTAGGCATTCGGGGTTCGATTCCCGGTCAGGGCACATGCCTGGGTTGTGGGCTCGATTCCCAGTCAGGGGCATGCAGGAGGCAGCCAGCCAATCAGTGACTCTCATCATTGATGTTTCTCTCTCTCTCCCTTTTCTTTCTTCTCTCTGAAATCAATAAAGATATATATATTTTTAAAAATTAAAAAAAAAAAGTGGCATACTACAATTAAAAATATTTCTATGTTGGTTCTTTCTAGGTTGGAATTTATCTTTTGGAAGATGGCCTCGCGAAACTAGACTTTTTGAGCGATGCAAATTCAAGAATGAAAAAGTTCAATCAACTCATGAAGAGAGTGATGGAAAAGTTATACAATTTTATTATTCCAGGTAATTTTTAAAGTAAACTTAAAAATTGCTGTTACTTAAAGAGTTTTGGGTTTCCCCTCAACTCTTATATATATAGCAACCAGAAAAACAGCTAATAAAACCATAATAAAAATTAAATAAACTCCCTAAAAATCTCTGTATGACAAAATTATACTTTTTTGAAATGCCCCCACTAATATGATTTGTGTGCTTATTTGCTTAACACTGTGCTCAGCTTATATATATATAGTCAAGAAGTGTTTGTGGAGCCAGTAGGTAGCCTCTCAGATCCAAACTGACTGGAGCATGTGCAGTATTCCTGTGCTTTTATTCTGTTGCGGCCAGAGATCTTTGGCTGCCCTTTATTCCACCTCTCCTTTGCAGCCTGACAAATAATCTCAAGAGCCTGCTTCCCAAAAGACCAGTTAATTTTGCTACTATTTCTTGGCAAAACGCATCCTTGGTCAGGACTGCAGCTTCAGAGTTGCCTGCCACTGGTTCCAAGGGAGAGTGTAGGTGGCTTGGTGCAGCCCATCAACACTGCTGGAAAATGGCTCAAGTTCTCCAAGCCCTGCTTATGGTGGCTCAGCATTATTTCAGGTGCAAATTTTCGTACTGAAATATTTGGAAAATAAGTGTCTAGCTTGATGGTTGGGGTTGTTTCTGCAGCTCGTTCTTTGTAAAGCTTCGTAATACTAGTAAATCATTTTGCATGTTAAAGACTTAAAAGGAAGATGAGTCTCTGGTTTCAGAATTGAAAGGACTACTTTTAAATGCTTTTAAATGCATCTAGAGTTTTAGAAGTCAGGGTAAGAAGTTCATTATTCTGCCTTTTAAAAATAATGCAGTATGAACTTTTCGAAGGAAAACTGCAGTGGATTTCAAGGGAAAACTTCAGTTTAGTTATCAATACTAGATTATGCAACTATAGTAACAATTTGAAATAACCAAGCATATAACTAAACATTAATTGTAAAGTTTTAAAAATCTTACATGGCATATTTTTCATTGAGAAAAGTAAATTATGTGTTTTGTGGTACACTCTTCATTGTAGAGCATATGGGGTGTGTCCTATAAAAGTTTATAGGCGTTTTGAAACAGTTTGGAAATAAATCATTAGCTAAAGGTGATTCGTTAATTTGTTCAAGATTTTGAATTTTTTTTTATGTTGTAGTAGGCACAAATTTTCCACATGGCATTTGTGCCCCCAAAATGAATCTGATTCTTACAAATGTGTATTATTGGTTTACACATTTACCTCCTAATTGCCTACAGGTGCTATCAAGTGCCCTTTTTTAGCATAAGATTTACAGTGGGAACCCTTGCCGTATAGACAGAGAAATTATGTTTGCATATGGATATTTTTTATATGAAGATATAAAAGTGAAATAATCATCCTTTTTTAAACTGTAAAAGATATTTACATTCAGTTCCTCAAATATTTATTAAACATCTACAGTGGCAAAGCATGTGCCAGCTCTAAGGAGCTATAAAAACAAAAGACAGCCTTTGCCCTCAAAGAGCATTACAGTTCAGTATAGAAGGGACAGGTACACATAGATGATTGCACTACCAGACAGAATGGCACAATGCATTGCTATATCCAGGGTATAAAGGTATTGCGTGAACGCAGGGCAGAGCATTCATTCTAACCACGGGGGAAAAACATGCCGTGGAAAAAGTAGCACTGAACTGTCTTGAAGGATGGGTAGATTTTTGATCTATGAAGTATTAAGGGAATTAAGGGTAGGGCCTTCCAGTCACCAAGCACGCTGATTAAGCCCCAAGAGTAGAGAGCGTGTGGTCTGTTTTGAAGTGAGCACTGCTCATAGTCATACGTGCGTTGGTGGTTTTGAGTACCTTGTTGTTGGACGTGCAGATGTGTTGGAAGAGGAGGAGGAAGATTCAGAGAGTGAGCCAGAGGGACAGGACGTCGATGAGCTCTATCACTTTGTGAAGCACGTGCATCAGCAGGAAACACAGCCCGTTGAAGTGGATGTCCAGCATCCTGCGCTGACTCCTGTGCTGAGACCCTACCAGAGGGAGGCTGTCAATTGGATGCTACAACAGGAGCATTTCAGAAGTGCTCCCGCTAGCGGCAAGTATAAGACACGTCCAGAAAGGCAAATGGATAAGAGGGATTATATGAGATCATTAAACAAATCATCGAAAAGATAGGATAGACTGGATGTGACTATGAACAAAGTGATTTTCTAAGAAATCCCTCAAAATTGAAGTCTAGAGAAATTCATTTGCGAGTTTTCTTATCCTTAAAAGTTTGATATGGTTTCTCTAGCCAAAATAAAGGCCCCCTTGATTGGAATTTTTTGAAACCCAGCAATTTTTCACATGCCTTTCCAGCTAAGAATTGCCTTTGGAATCTGATCAAGTGGGAATCTTGCTAATTATCTGCAAGAGGCTTCAGAATTGATGCGGAATGGTAGTGACAGAAAGCTAATTGACAACAGTGGGACACTTATGTGTGACTAATCTAATTTTCCTAGGTGTGCATTTATTTTCTTTACTCCACAAAGTAAATAAAATGCCACCTACTGGCTGTTTTCATAAAAGTGGTAGGCTTAAAGGAGTCATTTAGGGCACTTCTTTTTTCTTTTTTTTAAATCCTCAGCCAAGGATATACTTACATTGATTTTTTAGAGAGAGAGGAGGGGAGATAGAGAGAACCCATGGATGTGGAAGAGAAACATCGATTTGTTGCCTCCCGCACACACCCTGACCACAGGTAAAACCCGCAACCCAGGTATGTGCCCTGACCAGGAATCGAACCTGCAACCTTTTAGTGTACTGGATACCCTCCAACCACCTGAGCCACTCGGCCAGGGCTATGCTGCTGCTTTATCACCCAAAGGGATGTGCATAACGGGAGATTTTTACATGATTCTAGGACATGAAGTGTTGACCATTTCTTATTCTTCCTGTATCGATTTATTTTAGTTAAGGATGAATAGCTCTTATTTATCCCATGAGTTTCAGCTGATGCTTTTTTATCCAACAAACTTCTTTTTTTTAAACTTTCTATGTTGGAATATAAATATCAATTCATAGCCAATATTATTTCTTCCCACTTCTCCTCCTCCTGTCTTCTGAATTATTTTGAAGTAGTAATCACACATTATCGTATGTTAATATTTCAGTTTATTTCATTAAAAGATAGGGTTCTTTTAAACAGGTATATATATATATATGTATAAAATAGTGAATTTTAAAACCAGTAATTCCTTAATATCCCCAAATCTTCCTTCCTCCCTTCCCATCCTTCCTTCCCCCTTTCTCTCTCTCTCTCTTACAGTTCGTTCAAATCTGAATGCAAATAACATCTGTATGTTGGAATTAATTGCTGCCTCTTAGTTAGTTTCTTTTAATTCATAGGTTTTATCTCCTCTCTCATTCTATTTCTTTTTCCTCTTAACTTTAGATGTTGAAAAAATTGTTAGCTCTATTGTTTTTTTCACAGACTGGATTATTCTTTTCTTCAACATGAGATAATTTTTCATTAATTAATTTTATTAAGCCATAACTTACATACAAAAAAAGGTACAGATCTTAAAGGCACAGTTTGATAAGTTTTGACAAATCTATGCATCTGTGTAACAGCAACCCAGTGAAGACATAGAACTAGACTTTCCCAAAAGCCCACTAGCCACTCATGTCTCTTGAGACTTGAAAGGTGGCCTGTCCAAATTATGTGCTCTAAGTTTAAAATATACCAGATTTCAAAAAGTACAAAAAGTGTGAAAATCTCATTAATAATTTTTATATTGATTACATATTGAAATAATATTTTAGTTCTATTGGGCTCAGTAAATAGACTGTTACAATTTGTTACCTGTTTCTTTATATTCAGATCATACAGTGCTGACATAAAATCTATCCATCACCCCAGAAAGTTCCCTCATGGCCCAGTCGGTTCTCATACTTTAACCCCTTCTGGAGGCAACCACTGTCACCATAAATTAGCTTTGCCTGCTTTTAAAACAATAAATGGAACCCCTGGGGTGGGGAGAGAGTTGGCTTCTTTCAACATAATATTTTTGAGATTGATCCATGCTGCATGTGTCAGTGATTCATTCTTTTTTGTCCACAGACTGGATTTTGTTGATTAAATCACGTGTCATTTGATAGTTCTTCTGTTTTCTATGGTTCCCAAAGTAATCCTAACCTTTTCCCCATGTGTATGGGGCTTACCTGGGTATCCTATCTGTTAACTTATTTTTATTTTAATGTCATTATCTGGCAGGAAAGAAAACAAACAAAAACTTCTTTTTATGGTTATATTTTTCTTTAGAAAATGCCCTGCACTTCTTATGGCGAGAGATTGTTACATCTGAGGGTTTGAAACTCTACTACAATCCATACACAGGCTGGTAAGGCAAAACTTTTATTTATGTATTTGATACTAAAAATAAATATTAGGAAAACTTGTATGAGTTTGGTAACATAGGTCTTTAGCCTTGACAGTATCTCAATACTAAGTGAAAGTCTTATTAGACATTTTTATAGATAAGCCAGACATTTTTCAGTAAATGAATGTTATACAAGAGACTTAAGCTGCTTAGTTATTGATATTTAAAGAGATTATAATTCTAAGTAAAAATGTCATCTTATTATGGGTCAGTATTTATCTTTTTTGTTAAACTTTTCAGCATCTATTATAAAAATTTTAGGAATTCTTAAATATGTCTAGTGAATCAGTGGTTGTTGCCCTTCTTATTTTTTATTCCCAAATTCATAAAGGTCACAAAGAAAGCAGACATGTTTCCTTGGTTTTAGAAGAGAGAAATGGTAGCTGTTTCCCAAGACCACTCTTCTGTTTGCAGACTTTGTTGTCAGCTTTTGATTATCACAGTTCTTCAATTCTAGAAATGGGGATTTGAATTGTTTTACCCTAAAATGTAGTTTTAAAAGTTAGACTTTATGCATTTCTCTTAGTTCTCTTTAGGAACAGTCTAATTTTAATTGTATTCCTGTGATGTATTTTTCTTGTTTTTTTCTGTTAGCATCATCCGTGAGTACCCAAGTGCTGGGCCACAGTTGTTTGGTGGAATCTTAGCAGATGAGATGGGTCTCGGAAAGACAGTGGAGGTTTTGGCTCTGATTCTGACACATACTCGACAGGATATCAAACAAGATGCGCTGACTCTTCCTGAGGTAGGAGTACTGTAGGGCTTGTGAAATCGGGACATATGTTCTCATAAATCATCATATGTCCAACATTTGCTTGGCACTTAAGTCAACAGTTTCAATTTACGCTGCAGCTGATGACTTTTATTAGCTGGTAGTTAACTTCAAGTGGGCACAGAGAATGGGATGTGTGTGACCCGGCAGGGTTTTTCAAGCGATGTTGGCCAACTAGGAAGGGGGATATTCTCGCACTTAACAAGCTTCCTTTTAGTTGGCAGAGAAACTCCCTTAGGAAAATACTGTTACTTCCTCAAATGTTTTGTCACTGCTAACATCTCCATATTACCACTAAGTATTTTTGAGAACTTTTTTTTTAATTGTGCAGAATCTCAGATATGTAAATCAAGAATGTAATAATTAGAACTTTGTCAAAGGATACGTAGCTTATTCATTAGAGTATTAGATGAAATAAACTCTAAGTCCTTGTTCCAAAATATATAATTGTGTTTCAAAATGTAAATTGTAGAGTTTTAAAAGTATTCCATTGAGGAAATAGAGTTCATATTTTTCCATAATGAGGTAAAAAATAAAAAATTAAATTTGCTGGCCCAGCTGGGCGTGGCTCAGTGAGCATGGACCTAAGATCCAGGAGATCGGGGTTCAGATTCCTGGTCAGGGCACATGCCCGGGTTGTGGGCTGGGCAGCCGATCAATGACTCTCTCATCATTGATGTTTCTACCTCTTTCTCTCCCCCTCCTTTCCTCTCTCTGAAATCAATAAAGATATGTTTAAAAAAAAAAATTAAATTTGCTGGAATGAGGCCACTACTTAAGGGTACAACTATAATTACCTGTAAGGCCCACTGTGCTCACAGCCTTAATGATTATATGACCTTTTGGTAGGGTCAGGTTTGCAAAGTTAGCCTTTCAGATTTGAGTATATAATGGAAAAAACCTATTTCCTTTCCTGAAAAATGAGTTGGACAAGTATGCAGTTTTAACTATCAGTAACTTCTTTCTGGCATTTTCTTCTCTTCAGCTATTTTAATTCTAAGTTATTTTTAGTATTATTATAAATTCAGTAGGTTAATTCCTTGTTTAAAGAAGCCTTAAAAAGTTAATTGGAGAAGTCCCCACACTTAACGTTTAGCTAATTCAAGATAATATGCAGTTTTTAAAAGTAGTAGCTAGCTCTAAGCCCTGAAATAAAAAATAAGGTTTGTATGTGTGAATAGCATATTTAGCCCTTTCTTTCATAACTTTTTATAACTCTTTTGCATCTCAATAGAAGGAGGGTTAATTTTAATAAACAATTCAGAATACTGAAAGCAAAACACTGTGTGACTATTGAATGTTGTTTATATCAGGGAAAAGTGGTGAATTATTTCATTCCATCACTTTATTCTGGAGGACCAGTAAAAAACACAGAAACTCAGAATATGGAAATTGAACCAAAAGAAAAAGTTCATTGCCCCCGTAAGTATGAAATATCTTAAAGAAAATACCTTTTTACAATGTTCTCTGTTGTAGTCCTTGTAAGCCTCATATAGAGATATCGTGTAATTATTATAAATAATTGTGTTTATAGTTGTCTATACTTTGCATAAATGGGTTCAATTACAAGTCATAGTATCTTAACAAAGTAAATTTTTTTTTTAATTTGACTTGGTCCAGGTAGTTTTTGCTCAATATTACAGTTAAATTTCTTTAGCTTACAATTTAAACCAGACTTTGTTTATTCTCAGGCATAGCTACTTCAGTTTCTGATGGCAAATGAATGTTTCCCTTATTAATGATAGCATACACATAGATTATTGTGAGAGATTTTTAAAAATAATTTTAAATGATAGTTGCTTTGTAAGATTAACAAATTCATGAGTAATTCTCAAATTATTTCCATTATAGTAATTAATATGTTGAGATAAACTTTCATTAGTCTTCAAAATGACAGTATATAGACAGCATACCTTCAGTAGATCTTTGCTTATTTTTTTTATTACCTTAGTCCTCAGTGCACTTTAAGATGAACTGAGTTTTATTTAATTTTCATTTAATTGTTTCAACTGAGTTAGCATATCCTTTTGTATTTAGCTACACGTGTGATGCTCCTGACAGCCGTGAAAGAAATGAATGGAAAAAAGGGAGTCTCCATACTTTCCATCTATAAGTATGTCAGCTCTATATATAGATACGATGTCCAGCGTAACAGGAGTCTCCTGAAACGGATGCTGAAATGTTTAATTTTTGAAGGTCTTGTGAAACAGATCAAAGGCCATGGTTTTTCTGGGACTTTCACACTGGGGAAGAATTACAGGGAGGACGATGCAGGCGACAAGATGAGGAAGCAGGTAACGGCGCTCACGGGGGAGCTGGGAGTGGTGCCGCAGAGAGCTGGCAGAGCCCATCCGCTGAGGCTCTTACAGGCTGATGACAAAAGCACACCGCTTCGAGCATCCCTTAGGGCTCTGACTGATGTTTTCTGCCTCCAGAATATAAGTTCCATCAGAGTAGAAACTTCACTCTGGTTACCATTAAGCCCAGAGAAGAGTGCTTGGCGTATATCAAGTACTCAAATATTTATTGCTTGAATTATAAAATTAGTTGGTTAAGCATATTATAAAGTTTAAATTCTCTATTTTTATGCTGTTATCAGCATTTTAAAAGTTTGTTCCATATTTTAAGAATGTTAACAATACCTTATATTTGCCTAGTTCTTTATATACATTTTGAATTCTCACTTTTCCCATGTTCATCATCTTATAAAATTTGTATATTTTGTTATAAAAATACTTTTTAGGGCTGTCAATTTCAATTTGCTTTTAAGAAAATAGTTACAAATTTATAAACATAAATCGAGGAAAGACTAATGACAGCAAGTCCAAGTGCGGAGCTGCCAGCTTGGTTACTGTGAAAAACGGCACATGACTGAGTACATCCTCAAGTAGGGAGTCTCCAGCAGCTTCTCCCAGCCAGAGCAGAGGATGGCGTGAACTTCCATACTTTTACTTGTTCTCTGTCAACAAAAAAAGAAAATCTCCTTCAACTGATACCATTTATTCCCTGTTAAGTGTCCCAACTCCTCTGTTTGCCCTTGGCTCTGACATCCCTTCTAGGGAGCTGTTGCTGACACAGCCTTCTCATCACAGCCCCTCTCAGTACACCCCTTACACATTCCTGTAACATTGCTTCACTTCTACTCTTCTCTCTTTTCCAACATACCCTTTTGAGAGCAGGGGCTAAATATTCCTTATATTTATCCCCAGCATCACACAGAATTGACGTTCAATCAATAATTGCTGGAGGGAACACAAGTAGAAAGGAGAAAGAAAGAAGGGCTTTGTTTACTAATTGCAGTAACTAATAAGTTAACTTCCACTTTCTTTTAATCACCCTAGTTTGTATATTTGGGTCTTGTAAACTACTAGTCGTTTAGTGATTTAGGCAGACTATAAATTTTTAAGAGATTAGTACCAAGGTATTAGTAGCTCCCCTGATCTTTCTAACTTTTATCTTCTCCAATCTTATACAGTAAGCCTCTCTTTTCTTCTGGACCTATAGACTACGGGGATGGTTCTTATAGAGGGCTCATTGAAAGCCACTGACCAGGAGTGATTCTCCTCAAGAAAAAGAGTAGCAGGATTTTTATGTAAAGCACATAAACAAAGTTGGGAATGTAATTTCAGAAATGTAACGTGTTGAAATAACTTATTAAATAATGTTTTTCATAGGCAGTATGGAGTCCAAGGAAAAATCAGAAAGAATCCAGAAAGTCAGTGAGCAAGGACACAGATTCTGAGTACTTGCCATCAAATACCTCTGATGATGATGATGATCCTTACTATTATTACTGTAAGCCCAGGAGAAATCGTAGTAAAATGAGGAAAAAGCCTTCTCCATCCACAAAAAAGGGGAAAAGTCAGCCTGACGTCGATCTCAGTTCACAAGATCAAGGTCCAGTGACCAGTGACTCTGGAATCACTGATGTTACCACATCCACAAGTACATGTGTCTTTGAAATCCAGCAAGAGCATGCAGCAGAGGCCCAAGCTGAATCTCCAGACCCTGCTGGTGGTGATGTGCCACATTCTAATATCACGAGTCCCTATAATTCGTCTGACTATCGTTTTGAGTGCATATGTGGTGAGCTTGACCATGTAGACCGTAAGCCTCGTGTTCAGTGCCTGAAATGCCACCTGTGGCAACATGCAAAATGTGTGAATTATGAAGAGGAGAACCTGAAGATTAAGCCTTTCTACTGCCCCCACTGCCTTGTTGCAATGGAGCCAGTGTCAACAAGAGCAACACTGATCATATCTCCCAGTTCCATCTGTCATCAGTGGGTGGATGAAATCAACAGGCATGTGAGGTCGTCATCTCTGCGAGTCCTGGTAGGAAAGTTTGGGTTCTTTAAATTAAATGTAAATTTTTGCTGCTTTATGATAGTTTTTATAATCTTTGTCACTTTGTTTATCGCAAAAAATAACTTCATGAGATAATATTCAATCAGAACTTGAAGAAGAAATTGAAAATATGAAATAGATCACTTTTTTTTTGACATCAAAAGTTCAGAAGTTAAAGTACTTGAGTAGAAAGATGTGAAAGCTTTTGAACAAATTCTTTATCATGTAAATGAAAAGGTCTTTGTATAAGCACTTATACTCAGAGAGGAATGCAATTCAAAAACAGCATTGACTGAGAGTAGCTACTTGTCTGATCCACCACCTCTTAGCTCCAGAATCATCCTCTGAAGCCTCAGTTACCTTAACTGTAAACTATGAATTTACTCTTTCAACAAATATTTATTGAGCACCTATTTTGTGCCAGGAACTGTGCTAAATTCTGAAAATAGTATCCCCTCATGACTAACTGGGAAGATTAAATTATGTGATAAAGTGCTGGCACATAGTGTGTGGTTCACTCATTGTTATGTTTGCTAAGGTTTGTGTTCTTCACTCAGTTCTTCTTTCCATTCAGAGAGTATTACAGGTGTTCTGTCTCAGCCACTGTCCTAGGCATGGAGAGAGATACAGCAGTAGGCAAAGCGCCATCTTTCTGACTGGGCAGCTCTGTTCTGCGGCATGAACAGACCTTAGTTTGAATCTTGGCTCTTCTAGTTTTGGACGAGTCACTTCACATTTCTTATGTGTGAGGTAGGAGATAACTGCCTCCAACAGGATTGTTGTTGAAGACAGGCAAAGCAGTGTTTGAGACATAAGAAGCATTCTATAAATAACAGCTCTTACTCCTAGTTGTTCATACCGTCAGGTCTTTGCATGTGCTATTGATCCCGTCTTCCTACCTACCTACATGTCATGTCCATTTCCCCTTCTCTGCCCTTGAGAACTCCTAACTGTTCTTCAAATCCACCTCAAATTTTAAGTCCTCTCTGAATTTACCTTCTCAGCCATAGAGTTGGTCCTTCCACTGTGATGCCACCACATTTACTTCTGTTACAGTTCCATACGCATTGCTTCTATTGTTAGTCTTTCCCACTAAAATGTGTCTTTCTCTCAGCAGGTATGGAATGTATCTCAAAGCGTGTTTGGTGTTAAACATGGAGAATGGACTTAGTAAGGGTACAAGTGAATGATCATTTCAATTATCTTTGAAGAGCTTTTCTGCAATTTACTATGTCTGTGCTGTTTATTTTCTAGGTATATCAAGGAGTGAAGAAAGATGGCTTTTTACAGCCTCATTTTTTGGCAGAACAGGATATAGTTATCATTACCTATGATGTCCTTCGTTCAGAGCTAAATTACGTAGATATCCCACACAGCAACAGTGAGGATGGGCGTCGCTTACGGAACCAGAAGCGCTATATGGCCATTCCTAGCCCCCTAGTAGCTGTGGAGTGGTGGAGGATCTGCCTTGATGAAGCTCAGATGGTCGAATGTCCTGCTGTAAAAGTGAGTTTCTGCAGAATCTTTTGAGAGCTGAGGAAGATACAGGGGGTAGGAATTGGAAGAAGTCCGTAGAAGTTTTAATAGTTTAAGTGTAATTAACCCACAGTATTGATATTGGCCAGAAGTTTGCTGTTAAATACCCTTACATTTGCTTTTCTCTTATGCTGTGAACTAAATAGCCCTTAGGAATTTTTTGGTCCTCTGAATCATTGCCCTGTGTGCAGAGCCCATGTACATTTGAGTAAGATAGTAGTTTATGTGTGATGAAGATAAGAGAACTGTATTTAGGGACTTTTGTAAGGATTTCTGCTAAGAGGAAAGCAAACATTTCTGCCAAGTGGAAAACTTATCATACAGGCTCTGATAGCTTTAGACCAAAGTTGACTTTGGCAATTTTTTATCAGAGAGACCAGATGGTAACTAAAATCCTACTTTAGAAGATAGAATTTTGATTCAGCCGCTGTCACCTGTCTTTATTTTGTCTTCTTTGGCCAGCCTGTAACCTGTCCTGAATTTTTAAATCATATATTAGTCCAGTGATTCACTCTGAAGGATGGAGTGAGGGTGTATCTAGTCATTCAGGGAGGCTTTTCACTTGAACTGCCCTCCTTTCGGGGCGGGGGGGTGGCACATGGCATCCCGCTAATGAGAACCACTGTACTATAACTTATCTGCCACTGAACAGGACAGTCAACGTGGAGTGTGCTAACTGCTAAGTAAGAGCAGGTGCACCTGACCTGAAGCGTAGCTTTCTGTGGGCTGTTGTCATGAGTAAACATTCCTGACTTCTGCATTTTTCTTGGTTTTTTCTTTTATTTTTTATTCCATATTTCTCTCATCAGGCCGCAGAAATGGCTCAGCGCTTGAGTGGGATTAATCGCTGGTGCATCAGTGGCACTCCAGTACAGAGAGGACTGGAAGGTAACATATGGTTTCCTCACAGGTTGCCTATATTTAAAAAGCTTAATTTTTTTGAAGAAAAAGTGTTGTTATGTTTAACCTTTGCCGAAATCCTTACTTAAGTGATTTGTATTTGTATTTGACTCCTAGCAGTTACTAGCATTTATCTTTTTAAATGGAATTGGGTGATTTCTGTTTGCAGATATGAGGACAGATATATAGTGAGTAGTGCCATTGTCCTAAGTTGAACAGTTATTGTGCATGCCTAAACAGTATAGATATGGGTCGGATCAAACTCAGAGTCCCAAAATAGTAGATAGAAAACAGCAAGAACCTGACAAGAGAGAAAGGAATTCATTTTAATTGGCTGTATCTATAAAACTAGGACCATAACTTTCATAGCCTGAATCTACAAATAGTGGAACTATAATTTTACTAATTGTAAAAGTTATAAAATATTAATAGCTTTATAATATCACACCATTTGATTATTACCATTATTCCTTCAACTGTTCCTCTTCTTGGACATTTAGGTTGTATCTAGTTGTCCCTCCCACACACACACTATAACTCATGCGTCTACATAATCTCATTTATATAACTTACTTTTTCCAAAGAGAAGACATTGCATTTTTAAAACTTTTTTTCAAGTTGTGAATATTTAAAACTAAAAGTTCAAAGTTGTTTTACATAAGAAGTTTCCTAAAAAGATGTCATTAAAATGCATTTAAATTATAAAATATAAATATTCTTAGAGTCCTGTGGCAAATATTCATCCTCAAAACTTATCTTTCTAAAAATTCAAGTTGGAAAACTTTTTACTCTGCTAAAATAAAAATATCAACATCCACTACTGTGACCTGAAAAACAGTCTGTTTTTTGATGATTATTTTTAGGAAGAAAAATGTCTAGGAAAATTTTATAAATACATACTTAAATATTTGTATAATTTTAGTAAATTACATATATATAGAATAATATCAGAATAACTAAAAGGCCAGACTTAGTGGTCTGCTGTTACATTTGGAAACTGCCCACATTGTAGATATTTAGATGTTACTGAGACATCCGACTCAAAAGTTAGCTGAGAGGATACAGGAAAAAGAAAACAACTATCAGAGTTAGTTTTTTCTGATTTTAGTGTTGAAATTCTATGAGCAAAGTGGTTAGGGATCATCTCTTGGTTAGACTTATATTTCAAAAGATCACTAGTTGCAGTGTAGAGAATGGTTTAAAAACTGGGGCTTAGTGGATCAGAGGCTATCCATTGATTGGTTGCAATAAGAAATCTAAGCAAGTAATGCTGGCATTTGGGTTTGGACCAGGTTGTCTTGAGGAAACACAAAAAGTGGGTAAGGAAAAGTGAACAGGACTTAGACCAGGAAATGCCAGGACTTCCAACTCGCATAACTCCATGGAGAGTGGAAATATTCACCAGCGAATGGCATTGGAAGGGAAACATGTTTGGGCAAAAGTATTATGGATGTGATTTTGGCAGATTGAGTTTGAGGTGTCTTTGGGACCTCAGAGAAGAGGTACACATAGGCAGCTGGGAAATTTAGATCCGGGATTTCTGCATCGAGGCAATCGTTCTTTCAGATGTTACTAACTCTCTGTAACCACTGAAGTAATTTAATTCAACCTAAATATTTGTTGCTTATCTTTTTATAGCTTCTAAAGAGAATACACGCCGATTGTGAACATGTTACCAATACAGAAAAATATAAAGAAAATTACACTTAGCTATAAACTTCATTTGGCAACATAACCACTGTTCAGTCTTTTAAATGTTTGTTTATTTGTACTTACACTGCATGCATAATTCTATATTCCATTTATTTTTTTACTTACCATTATAACCTAGCAGTTTTTCATGTTTAAAAATTCATCATGAATATCTGGAAAACTGCTAAGGTATAATGTTAAGTGGGGGAAAAAGGGGAATATAAAATTGAGTGTCTAATCAAGAAATATATATAAGAAATACCGTGTTCTAAAGCTAACAACCACAAGCCCTGCTAGATCAAAAAATTAAAAAAGTTCTGTCTTATAGGGGAGGTGAATACCATAATTTATTTAGTCATTCCTTTATTTCAGTGATTTTTATGCTATTTATTTTTGCTATAACTATCACTTTGTAGGTATATCTTGTCTCTACTTTTTATCATTGTCTTAAGCTTATTTCCTAGAAGTGGAATTATTAGATCAAAGGATTTGAAGAATATTAGATCAGAGAATATTCTCCATGTTAGTTTTGTAATTATAACTTTTTTTCTGATCTAGCAAATGATGCATCTCTCAGTTTTAGTGCATGATGTATATATTTCTTGAGCAGGTACACTCAGGTAGTTTTCTGATTTTACTTCTGATGGAAATTTCAGACTTTTAAATTAAATATAAGCTTTGTCTAATGGTTCTGTAAACTTTTTTTTTACTTTTTAAAAAATATTTCTATTGATTTTTAGAGAGAGAGGGAGAAAGAGGGGGAGAGAAAGAGAAACGTGGATGTGAGAGCAGAGCATTGATCGGCTGCCTCCTGCTTGCCCACCACCAGGCGATCAAGCCTGCAACCTGGGCATGTGCCCTGACCAGGTCATGGAACGATGCTCAGCCAGCTGAGCCATACCGGCCAGGGCTGGTTCTATAAACTTTAAAACTAGCTCCTAGCACAAAGTATAGAGTGAATGTAAGTTGAATTGGAATTGACTTTGAGATTCAAGAGCCTGTACAATCTGCATGTTAGTTCATGGAAAGTGCTCTGTGCTGTGTAATGTCTGTTAAAGTGATTATTCAGAATTGTCACGAAGGAATATAGAAGCAGTTATTCCCCAAGTGCTTTGTTCTTTTTTTCTTTGCAGATCTTTTTGGGTTAGTGGTCTTTCTTGGCGTTGAACCTTTCTGCGTCAAACACTGGTGGGTTCGACTTCTCTATCGCCCTTACTGCAAGAAGAATCCTCAACCCCTCTACAGCTTCATTGCCAAGATTCTGTGGAGGTCTGCAAAGAAAGATGTGATTGACCAAGTCAGTACAAAAAAGTTTTTATTGATTAAGGGTATTAAAAGGAAACACAAGAGATGGGATGGACAGTTAAATTTCCAGGTGAAATCTTTTTGTTTTTTCTCTCTCTACAGATTCAGATACCTCCTCAGACAGAAGAAACCCACTGGCTCCACTTTTCTCCAGTGGAAAGACATTTCTATCACCGTCAGCATGAGGTGTGCTGCCAGGATGCAGTAGTCAAACTCAGGAAGATTTCTGACTGGGCTCTGAAGCTCAGCAGCCTGGACAGAAGGACTGTAACCTCCATCCTGTACCCACTGCTGAGGCTCAGGCAGGCCTGCTGCCACCCACAGGCTGTTCGTGGGGAGTTCCTACCGCTCCAAAAGAGGTTTTATTATCAATTTCCTTCTACCACAACTGAGAATATAGTAGTAATAGACCATATTTAAGCAGTTAGCGTCCTAGCCCCCAGTTTCATGTCCTTGTCACTGAGTCATCAGTTATTTTGAGCAGTGTGGTGGTTTTTCTTTGGTGTGGAACTCCATTTGTGAACGAGAATCACATCTTCAAAATTATTTTTATGGTTTTGAACATCTCTTTTCAAATTAGGACTTTTGTTTTGTTTTTGCTTCATTCCAGATATAAAAGGCTTTTGGTTTTGTTTTTTGGTTTATAGGGTTGGGTACTATCTGTAGTTTCAGGCATATACTGAGGGTCTTGGAATGTATCCCTGGGGATAAGAGGGGATGACTAATTAAGGTAAAATGATAGTGATAAGTGGAGGTGAAGAGAAAGATGCTGATGATCCCACAAAGGCTCTGTACGAGTCTGATGATTTTATGCGATATAATACTCTCACTTGGGATCTTCACTCTGGTTCTGAGCAGTCTGCCTCTTCTTTTAGCACCATGACAATGGAAGAGCTCCTGACGTCGCTGCAGAAGAAATGTGGAACGGAATGTGAGGAAGCACATCGGCAACTAGTTTGTGCTCTCAATGGCTTAGCAGGGATCCACATCATTAAAGGTAGAAGGTGATTGCTTGTTATCTCTGACTCTCCTTCATGAGAACTCTTCCGGCCGTGTGAACTCAAGTGGTGTTTTTTTTTGCAACTTTAATGAACCATTGAGTGCTCTCTTTAACAACTAATTCAATCTATTATTGCATTTGTAATACAATAAGAGATTATATAGTTTTGTAGCCTTTATAATAAACCATAGTGACTGTTAAGGGTTTTCTAGTAGTAATGAGGAAAGTGCTGATATAAATGTAGCCTTTTTAAAACTACTTTTAAAACCTTCTCTAATAGCTTTGGTTTTGAAAATTGTAATTATAAACTTAATTGGGATGGATTTACTGCTTTTAGTTTCCATTGCTTAACTTCACAATATATTTAAATAAATTAAACAATAAATTAATTAAAGAATATATTTATATTCACAATAAATTAAACAGTATATTTTCATTCATTCATTCATTCATTCATTTACTTTTGTTATCCTCACCTGAGGAGGATATTTTTTCCCTTGCTTTTCAGAGAGAATGGAAGGGAGGGAGAGGAGAGAAAGAGAGAGAGACACATCGACTGTTTCCCTCTTATACATATCCCAACCAGGGGCAGGAAACGAACCTTCGACCCTTCATTGTACAGGCCAACACTCTAACCCCTGAGCAATACCAGCCAGCGCACATTTCTAAAAGTAACATTACATATTTAACTTAAATAATTTTATTTTTTTTTTAAATATATCTTTATTGATTTCAGAGAGAGGACAGGAGGGGAGAGAGAGAGATAGAAACATCAATGATGAGAGAGTCATTGATTGAGCCTGCAACATGGGCATGTGCCCTGACTGGGAATCAAACCCCGATCGCCTGGATCCTAGGTTGACACTCAATCGCTGAGCCATGCCTGGCCGGGCTAACTTAAATAATTTAAACTCTAAATGTAGAGCTCAGACAATGAAGATCTAAAATTAATTTCAAACTCTAGAGGGATTTACTTATATGCAAATGTACATATATGATATGCAATGCATATTCTAAGTGCTCAGTGATTATAGTATTAAAAACAGTATTATTTCAATTTTGTATAATGTGTTTTCTGCATCATATTTTTTGGAGAAAATTAGGTTGGCAATATCAAATGCAGTACAATTTGTTTACTTGGAAATGTTACTGCCATCAAGTGGCAAGGAGTGGGTATTTCCAAATATGACTTAAAATTGTATAACTTGCCCTAGCGGGTTTCTTTCAATGGTTAGAGCATTGGCCCATGGACTGAAGAGTCTCGGGTTCAATTTCTGTCAAGGGCAAGTATCCAGGTTGCAGGCTCCTTACCGGAGGCCCGGTCCAGGTGCTTGTAGGAAGCAACCAATTGATGTCTCTCTCACATTGATATCTCTTTCTCTCTCTGAGTCTCTCTCTGTATGTGTCTCTCTCCCCCCATTCTACTCTCTCTGAAAAAGCAATGGAAAAATATCCTCCAGTGAGAATTTTTTTAAAAAATTGCCTAACTTATTGAACATGCATATTTCTGTGTCTTCCCAGGAAAGCATGTGTTTTTTAATAAGCATAAATAAGTTGGTATTATAGTGAGCAGTTCAACTTCAGTGGCTTACATTCTGACTTAGTATTGTTCCTCCTTTAGAAGGTGTGGTAATTATGAAGGAGAATTGTCAGATGAATTAGTATCTACAAATGGTAGTATACTACTACTAGAATCTATATATCTTTTGAAAAGCTTCACAAGAATCTTCAAAAGTAAAAAAAAGAGACCTCCTTGCGTGATAATTGAGTATTACTCCTACATGATAATGTGTTTTATTATTGTGAAAATAATCTTTTTTATCAAAGTGAATAGAAATGGGTTGACAATAAAGCAGTATGAAAATATATGCTTTAGAAAGCTATGTATTAAGTAACTGGTAGCACTCAGTAGAAAACAGTAGTATAAAAGGAAGTGTTATGTACAACAATGTGACTGTACTTAATACCACTGAACTACACACTTGAAAATGTTTGAATTGGTAAATTTTATGTTATATGTATTTTACAATAAAATATGTATTGCCCGGCCGGGTGTGGCTCAGCGGTTGAGCGTCGACCTAGGATCCAGGCAATCGGGGTTCGATTCCCAGTCAGGGCACATGCCCCGGTTGCAGGCTCAATCCCCAGTTGGGGGCGTGCAGGAGGTGGCCGATCAATGACTCTCTCATCATTGATGTTTCTATCTATCTCTCTCCCTCTCCTTTCCTCTCTCTGAAATCAATAAAGATATATATTATAAAAAATTATTTATATTTATATATAATCAGCATTAACAAAAGAGAGAACCAACAACAAAATTTACAAAGGTGTATATATAGTGAGAGAGTAGAGAGAAAGTTCATTATGGCTCTAAACAAAGCCCTGATATTAATAAATTGATATTAATAAAACTAGACTGAAGTTAAAAAACAGAAAGCAAGTGTATATGATGATCAGGAAATAAAGGCTTTTTTTCCCCCCAATAAACTGAAACTAGAACATCTCTGTGCCATCTTTTGAATTTCATGATTTTGTTACTTTTAGGTTTTTATTTTAATTATATTTATGTTAGCTACCAGTTTAAAGTTTTTCCCTAGGCAGCAAATAAGATAGATTTCATTATTTATGCCATTAAAAATGTTTCATCTCTCCTTTCATTAAGGTGTCGTCAGACTTTTTCTGAAAGAACCAGATAATAAATATTTTAGACTTGGCAAGTCATAGATCTGTTGCAACTACTCAGCTCTACTGTTACAGTGCAAAAGCAGCTGTGAACAAATGATCATGGCTGAGATCCAATAAAACTTTATTTGTGGACCCTGAAATTTAATTTCACATAATTTTTACATCTCACGAAGTATTATTATTTTCAATTTCAATTTTTTCAACTATTTAAAAATGTAAAAATCATTCTTAGCTCATGGTTTCTATAAAAATACAGAGAGTCAGATATAACCCATGGACCATAATTCACCAACCTGTACTTACAACTGATATTTCTTAAATTATTTTATTTGAATGAGCTGCTAATCATGAACAATATGAAACAGCATAAATTTCAGGTTGATTGTGATTTGTGTGACCAGAAATGGAAAGAAAAACCTGTAAGTTTTTGAAATGTAGTTCTTAATTGCGAATTGTTTTGACCACCAAGAAGAACACCTGTCAAGAAGAGTATATTATTTTTCCAAGAATTATATGTTGGTTGGTCACAGTATTTTGAATATTTGTTTTTAAATACCTATAATCACCCATACTTATCCTAATTTTAAACATCATAATGAATACTGATTGGTACTCTCTAACTTCAATGAGAAGGAAATCATTTGTCCAAATTAGAAGTTAACCTAGTTTGTTTTTCAGTATAATATTAAAACATTGCAAATACATTTGATTGATGTCCTAGTCTGTGAAATTAGCGAAAGGACCTATCATCATCTTTTTTACTGGAGCGATAATGCCAAGTCAAATTCCTTTTCTTAAAAAGGAATTTCTTAATCGCTAAGTTATATTTTCACAGACTTTTTAAAATATAGGTAACTAGGTCATATTGGGAGCTAAATACATGACTTTTTATGCCTTAAATGCATTTTAATTCTTCAGGTGAGTATGCATTGGCAGCAGAACTGTACAGAGAAGTGTTGCGTTCGTCTGAGGAACACAAAGGAAAACTCAAAACTGATTCACTCCAAGTAAGTAAAAACTAAAGTCTCAAGTACATACTTTTGTTTTTTTACAGAATAATTTTTCTGAATATTTAAAAAGATGAAAGGTAACAAATGGACCGAGCCATAATATCTGGGTATGAAGTTTGGGATTCAGTCCTTTCAATAAGCACCCAAGTTGATTTGCATCTACAGTCCTACCTCAGTGTCCTCAGGGAATTGGTTCCAGAGCACCCTCCCTCCCATGGTACCAAAATCTGTAGATGCTTGGTTCCCTTTTGTAAAATGGCTTAGTTTTGCATATAACCTAAATTTGCATTTAGGCTACAGCAGGGTATGCCTCCACATCACTTCATTTGTGTGAATTCAGCAGAGTGCTTGATATGTGGCAAATTCAAGTTTTGCATTTTGTAATTTTCTGGATTTTTTTTCCCCCGCCGAATACTTTTCATCCTGAAACCTGCGAATTTGGAGGGCAGGCTGTCCATGAAAGTTTGAGAATCAATACTATTCCACATGTTCAGGCCAGTATTGGCACAAGGCTGACTAGCTAAATCTAACCTACATTAGAAAAACAGCTTGAATTATTTGTACTTCAAAGAATGAGATCAATTTTATCACTTTTGCATTTGAACATCAACATATTAATTCACATGGTTTTCACAAAAAAAGTAAAGAAAATGAATTAATCTCAGCAGTGGAACTATGTAATAATGAAACCTATCCAGTGATCTTCTAGTTTAATTTTTGGAGGTCTTTTAGGGAGATTTGGATATTTGAATTATAACATTTAAGTGTTAAATCTCTTTCCATTCTCGATTCTGCCACATGGATTATATAGACAAAGCTCTCTACCTGAATGGTAAATAAGGACCACATTTACTAACCTTGGGACATTTAGGCTTGAGTCTCTGGTGAGCCTTCTTTATCATTCAGAATGATACGCTCTGGGACCTACGTGTTCACATGTACTTCAGCAGATGGCGGGGGAGGGGTGAGGAGGGAAAATTAAATATAAGTGTGCTTTTATTCTGCATGGATACGGAGAACAGAAGGCAAGCCCTGGCCTTAAGCAGTGTGTGTGCTTCAGGGGAGAGGGAGGAAATGCAAAGGTGTCATGCTCCTGAGTGAGGGAAACCAAGGTGGAAGAGTGATCCTTTAGCCCCTACCTGTCTTCCCAAGATAACAGACAGAAATTACCCTCACTTTATTCCTTCTCATAGCCCTTGACTCCAGGAGTCTCTACCCAGTTGTAGACACAACGTCACATTGAGAAACCTGGCTTATACTGAGTGCAGAGATATAAGAGAGAGTTTTCCTGTACCACCTTCACCTCCAGCTCTGCCCTATCCAGCCCTTAAGTGCAACAGGTCTATGTCACAGCCTTGTTTCCTTATGTGTCATTTTCCTTATTTTTATCATAATACACGTGCCAGGATCGTGCAGACTCATCGTCCAGAAGAGGAATCGGGCTTGGGCAGCCCACCTCTTTATTTTGTTGAACTTACTTGGCATACCCATTGTTCCCTGTGTAGGCAAATGCATTATAATGGAAAAGTACACCTACGTTACATATTCTGCTAAATACAGACATATTTCATAAGAGTAGATTTTTAATTGAAGAAAATGTATATCATTGTGAATTAAGACCTTGACTATAAAACTGACTTTGGCTTTCTCTGAGAAAGCCGGCACTCAAATCAGTGACACAATTATGTGGTTAGTGCTCTGTGTGCCATGTTAACAGTAGGTTCTCCGCTTAGAGTTGACTGCGTTGGCTGTCGTAATTACTGCCTTTTGTATGTTTGTAGAGACTTCATGCTACTCACAACTTGATGGAATTGTTGGCAGACAAGCACCCAGGGATACCTCCTACCTTGCGAGATGGCAGACTTGAGGAAGAGGTAATTATTATTTTTCATTCTTTCCGTTAAAGAGTATTTTTTCAGGCTTCATGCTCCACCTAATTGCTATTTCCTAGAGCGCACAACATTTAAATAGAGGTAATCCTCTTTTCCTGCTGCTTTGGCCTTTCTGACTTTGCGGTGGTGATTGGGGAGGTGAAGAAAAGCAGTACTCCATAGTATTCTGCTTTTCTGGTGATGTGCTTGCAGCTAGAGGGCAACGGCTTGTTGTAGATGTGGTTATTGATAGTCAAAGCACAGGCTATAACTGAACAACACATTTTAAAAGTTCTTGTTGATCTCATGACAGATCTGAAAAAGACATAGTGAAAATAAAAAGTTTTATACTTTTGCCACCTTTTTGTTTATTATTTATGACAGTAAATTCAGATTTTCAGTGGTACGTATTTCTTATGTCCTCAAAGAAGTTCCCTCTGCAATGAGTATTGCCTCTCTCTGGAAAGAGTGATATTATAAATTAATTTACAATAAATCTTCAGTAAGCTTATTATGCTAATTCACCCATGGATTTTTGTCCTTTTAAAGGTCAAAGAGAGATGGCAAAGCTTAAATCTAATGAGTAGTAGATATGTTTGAAATGTATCACACCTGTTAGTAGAGCTTTTATTTGAATCAACAAGATAAAAAAAAAAGATTGTATAACTATGTACAACCCTTTATTAATGTTAGATGGCAGCCTAAGTGTTAGAAATTTTTTAATGAAATTTTATTTCCATTGCAGGCATCTAATCTAGCATATAATCACTCACTCTTTGTTTACCTGCCTTTAGTGACAGGAAGCTCTGGGAGATAGTCCAGTCTGTTAGTAGACATCTTTAATGACCAACTAATTATAGCCAGGGAATTTTAATAGAAATTAATTGGAAGTTTGTGACAGGTAAAGAAAAAACTCATCGTGAGGAGGATGGTTCAGGCTATACACATGGATGTATTTCCATGTGTTGTCACTTTTGCGTAACTCTCAGAATATGAGGGCACAGGATCCGAGGAATCATCTACTTCAACCACCTCTTTCCATAATTGAAGTAACGGAAGCCCAGGGAGGCACTGCCTTGTACAAAGAGGTGTATCTGTTCAGTGAAACCTCAAGAAATTCCCACCCCCCTTTTTTTTAAAGTCAAAAGTGGTCCAGTTTTGGTAATTTTATCTGGTTTATAAGAATTTTAAAGTATTTCTATTGCTTGCAAATTATGTGATCTTTCTTAAGTCGGAAGGGGAAGAGTTTTTAGACCTTTGTTGTATTCATCTGCTAGGACTGCCATAACAAAATACTACAGACGGGGGTCTTAAACAACAGAAATTTATTTCTCACAGTGCTGGAGACTGGCGGTCCAAGATCAAGATGTCAGCAGTGTTGGTTTCTCCTGAGGACTCTCCTTGGCTTGTGCATGGCTGCCCTCTCTCTCTGTCTTTACCTGGCCTTTTCTTTGCTTGCATTCAGTTGTGTCTCTGCTCTTTCAAGGAGACCAGTCATATTGGACTAGGACTTCACCCTTATGGTTTCATTTAACTACATTTACACATTCAGTCACCTCCTTTAAGGTCCCATCTCCAAATGTGGTCCCTTTGAGGGCTAGGGCTTCATCGTATGGATTTGGGGGGAACACAAGTCCGTCTATAACACCTGAGTTACTGTATATTCTCAAGTATTATTTCTAAACTGAAGTAAATTCTAAGAAATTTGTATCAATCAGATAAGAGATTAAACCCTTGGGATTTCTTGGATTTTGTGACTTAACTGCTAAATGTTCTCTTGAATGTATATCTTAGGAATTTGTGGTGTGGCTTTTATGTTCTTTACAGTATACTTGTAGAGTTTTATGCTTAAATTGAGTTAAGTAGCTTTAAATGTATAAAATAACCACATTGTTCTTGAAACATACTAAATTATTTTCTAGACCTGGAGTGAAAGTTATGCTGTTTGCTCTTTTAACACAGGCCAGACAGCTGAGGGAGCATTACATGAGCAAGTGTAACACGGAAGTTGCTGAAGCACAGCAAGCTTTGCTTCCTGTGCAGCAGACCATTCGCGAGCTCCAGAAAAAGGTACGTCCCCGAAGTGACTTCCTCACTTGGGTGTGTCTCCACGTAGCATTTTGGCTTTTGCTTTGTTGTCGGGAAAAACTTGAGCTCAGGTAGTCATCTTGGAATTCTGAGCTCCTACCACAGTGCCTGTCCCACAATAAAAGTTTATTTGCTGCTAGAAGTGTTTATTTACTGAATCAACGGATACATAGATAAATCACCTATTTTGAAGTTACTCTTTTTCATTTCTTTTTCACTATGCTGGGCTTCTTTTACCTTTGGCATATATAACAAGTTGTCTTTTGAAGAAAGTAAGACTTTCATATTCTTCTTTTACTCTCAGATGTATATATTGCCAAAGTCTTTTCCTTCAACATGTCAGAACATTAGAACCTCAGGTATTTTTCTTATGGAATGCAAGCCATTTGTCATTTCTAAAATTTCTCTTCTATGAAATCAGTAGCAAAGTCCAAAGAAGAGGGTGCACAAAATGCACTCTCATTTACTGTTTGACTTTTACCAGTTACTCCACATTTTATTCTTCCTAATTCATTAATTCCTTAATATTCAGACATATAATTTTGTTACTTGTCATAGACTATTCACTGAGTAGAATCTAGTTCAGTTATTTGAGTATTAGCATGAGGTCTTTATATTAAGAAAGAAACCTGTTACCTTTCCAAATATATGGAGGAAGTATTGAATTTTTGTTGGGGGAAGTATTTTTTAGCATAGCTTTATTATACAAGTGTGCACAGTAAATTCTCATTCATCCAGAATAGTCAGGAAACAGGTGTTCTCTTTAATTACATTGTACAAAGTTGTACTCACCCATCCAATGTGGAGAATGTGTACTTGTCTCGCTGCTGTTGTAATTCCCTTTAGAGTAGCATTTATTGCTGCCTTTGACTTTTTCACAGCACCCTTCCATGGGATAGAAACACAGTGAGCACTACAACGATGTTAACTGATCAGCTCTTGTCTTTTTATACAGACTTGTTCTAATTCTCCTTGGTGGCTGAATGTGATCCACAGAGCAATAGAATTTTCTGTTGACGAGGAGCTTGTTCAGAGAGTACGAAATGAAATAACCAGCAACTACAAGCAACAGACTAGCAAGCTTTCTATGTCAGAGAAGTAAGAAAATATTACAAAACAGAGTAACTCTATGAGTAGCCACCCCAGATATTCAAATCATTTGATATTAAGAGGTACAGTTAAATATAGGAACATATTGTGATTACGAACATCTGGGTTTTACAAAGTGCCTGATATATAGTAAATGCTTAATAAAATACACACAAACACACAGAAAGAGAGAAAGGGCAAGTCTTGTAACAAGTAGAAAACCTCTTGGCTATTTTTCTTTCTCCCCATTTTTCTGACTTTATCTCTCATTGTGCAGTCACCTCTCCACATAGAGCTAGGATGTCAGGAGGTACATCTGCAGTCAGTCAGCATTAAAAAGAAAGAATGTGGCAGTCGTGATCTTTCAAAGACATCTAAGATGGAGACAGAAGATTTTGAGTACTGTTTTTTAGTTCCTGAGAACAGGAACTATCAGACTTTTTATAGTAGACCATCCAATATTATTATTCCTTGCCTACTAATAGGCACCGATAGAATACTCTCCTAAGGTGAACGCACTAAAGTGTGACTAGGTAAAATGTTGCAGTTTCTTTGTGTAACAACCATTTTCTGAATTGGAAGAAACTGACCTACTATTCATTTCTTTGTGTTGTGTTTGGTGCTGGTGATGGGAATTAGATTCCGTGATTGCAGAGGTCTTCAGTTCTTACTAACAACACAAATGGAAGAACTAAATAAATTCCAGAAACTTGTAAGAGAGGCTGTAAAAAACCTGGAGGGACCTCCATCTCGTAACGTTATTGAGTCTGCAACAATCTGCCACCTTCGACCAGCCAGACTTCCTCTCAACTGGTAGGTACCAGGAGAAATCATTCGATGAAATGGCATCATTCTGTTAGGCTAGATTTCTTCTGAGCAAAGAAATAATGGTTCACATAATAAAAGTTTTTCATTTGATTTCAGACAGAAGTAGAGGTGTATTATTAATCTAACTTTAAAAAACAAAAACCAGCAACTCTATAGGACAACATACTGAAAATTTTTTTTTCTGAAATGGCATATTTGTTGAAAAGAAAAAGTGAAGTATAAAATACTTATCCTTTCTTAGAAATTACCCAGTTGCTGGTTGTGTTTGTGAATATTTCACTGACAGTTTCTTCTTTTACAGCTGTGTCTTTTGTAAGGCTGATGAATTGTTCACAGAGTATGAATCAAAGCTGTTTTCTCACACGTAAGTACTCTGATTATTTCACAGCAGGAAAATGAGACATTTACAAGACGATGTTTTAAATTAGAAGACTATATTTTCTTTACAGTAATCTTCCTTATATATTTTTTTCTCTTATTAAATCAACTCATTAAATTTTGGCATTTGATCATTTAACATGCTCAGTTTGACTGATGCAGAAGTTTACCCCCAAATGCTCATGTCATGTAGTAATGTCTAACTGATAGATAGTTTAGAAGAGTAACAGACTCTCAAGTCCAGCAGATTTCAACTCAAGTCCCTGCCCACTTTTGTGAGCAAATTACTTCTCTAAACCTCAGTGTCATTTGTGAAATGCATATAATAACACTTTCCTCATTGAGGTTTTTTTGGATATTAAATAAGAAAATGCACATAATTGCTTAGCAGTGTTTGATACATGGTTAGTGTCCTGTAAAACATGAGCTCATTATTAATACACTTTCTCCAACACAAGTTTAAAATCTTTATCCTGTGCAAAGAATTAAGCTACTTAGTAAGTGCATATAGGCATGACCTTAGCAACATTATTTGTATCTTATAAAATGGAAGTGGAGAAAGCACTAAAATCGGATGGCCTCAGAAAAGAGAGATTGACAGTGTACTTTGAGATTAGCTTGTTTTTGGAGTTGTTTCTTCTCTCTCTCTCCCTCTCTCTCTCTCTCTCTCTCTCTCTCTCTCTCTCTCTCTGTGTGTGTGTCTGTGTGTCTGTGTGTGTGTGTGTCTGTGTCTGTGTGTGTGTGTCTGTGTGTGCATGGTTGATGGTGGCAGTTTGTTTTTTGTATCATTTTAATTCTCAGAGTAAGATTTCAGCCTGGATTTTGTAGCCATTTATTATGCCAGATGGCTCTCAAGAAACACTGGTCAAATTTATGATGCCTCAAGCATTTTTCCCCCAAAGACTTGCAAGCATGATCATGTAGGCGTGACATTAAAAATTGTTGAAATTTTCATTACTGACCTTGTTTTTCTGTTGGCTTTGCCAGTATGACTTTTTTACAGTTATTTTTACCCATTAACAGTAGTTACTGTTATTTTGTTCTGTGTGTCTTTAGAGTCAAAGGCCAGACTGCAATATTTGAGGAGATGATAGAAGATGAAGAAGGACTGGTGGATGATCGAGCACCTACCACCAGCCGGGGTCTATGGGCAATAAGTGAGACAGAACGATCTATGAAAGCTCTACTGTCGTTTGCAAAATCACATAGATTTGATATTGAATTCATTGATGAAGGAAGTATTTCAATGGATCTCTTTGAAGCTTGGAAAAAGGAATATAAGGTCCAGTATTTTCAAACTTCCTTTCAATATTAAAAGTGCTCTTTTGCATTAATTTTAATTGCTACTTTTCTCNAAGGAATATAAGGTCCAGTATTTTCAAACTTCCTTTCAATATTAAAAGTGCTCTTTTGCATTAATTTTAATTGCTACTTTTTCTTTCTTTAGTTTTTAAAAATTTGCTTAGAGACTTGAGGTGTTATAATTTCTCTTTTCCTAAAATGTAGTGATTATAATGATGAAAAATACACTAATACTGAACAAATAAGGAACTTCTATTTCTTAAATTACCAAAAGAAAATCATTATTAAAATTAAAATATATGAAAGCTTTTATTTAGCTGTGAAAATGGTCATTCGGTTCTCAGCTTGACCTTACACGGCTGTTGGGTGGAATTAGAGGAGGGATTGTTTTCATTTCTTGTTTTGTTTTGCTCTTGTTCTGTGAATAACAACCAACCATCAGTGACCTCAAATGAAGACTGGAGAACACGGTAAGTATTTCTCAATATGTAGACTGGGAACCATGGCAATTAAAATGCACAGAGTGCCCCTGCACATTAATAATTCAGTCATTTCGTCTTGTTGTAACTCAGACATTGAGGTGAGATTCCAGAATTCATTAGTTTTGAATTTTTCTTTGTATTTGGATTTGATAATCCATTATCCTACTTTGCAGGGATGATGGGTAAGGCAGTGAAAGAAGTGTTTTATTTATATGTTATAATTCATTTAATACATTTTTAAATCTAAAGTTCTTGCCTTTTAAAGCAGGATAAAAATATGTCCAGAAAAAGGAGGCATGCTGTCATATCAATTCATGTGTGTGATAAATTGGGGAAAGGTACTTTCATACTTTTATAGATTGAAGTCATTGGTTCATAATTTTTTTTTTTTTTGCATTACTGTTTTAATGTAAAAGCACATTAACACAGTTAATTACAGCAAGCCATGGAAGAAGATGGTGCCGTGTCCACTTGACCCTACCTTCTTCCTTTGGGCTCAGTTTTGCCACTTGCTCTGTGTCGGGAAAGCTTATTATGTAATTCTCACAGAACTTTGTGCCTTTTTCTCCATAACATTGCAGACTAAACCCTTTTACAGTGATGGGAAAGAATGAGCTACTGCTACACACATCAGTCAGGACCTCCCTCAACGAATAATGTTAGTGAAGAAAGCATATCAAAAGTTTTATAATAATTGATGCCATGTCTATAAATTTCAGAAACATATATCCAGGTTAATAAGGATGTGTAGATTAGTATATGTCAATGAAAAGTATGGAATAATAAGTCCAACTCAGAATAATGGTTACTCCATTTGGGGGGTGTATGAGGACAGAGTGATACATTTAAGAGGGAACACAGAGGCTTTCTAAGAAATTGATACTGTTCTCTTTCCTAAATCGGATGGTAGAACTCACTTGTGTATTTAATATTCTCATTATCATATATACATATTATTTTTAATATGTGAAACATTTTAGAATAAATAATATTTCTTTAAAAAATAAAGCAGAGATTCCACCTAGTATACAAGCCTAGTATTGAGCTATAAAGGTCTTTGGTCCTACCAAGAAATCTTTGGCTATTCTGTTCTTAAGAATGTAAAGAGGCAATACTCTGCAGTGTCCTATGGAGATTTCCAGTTGTATTTTCTCCTCCTAAAAATAGCCCAAGAACTGCTTTTACCTTAGACACGTAGTGAAAAAATGTATATGTCATAAGACCTCTCTCAAGACTTTTGACCAAGGCACATCTTGGCGGTTTTAACCAATTTTATTTATTTCTTTAACCAGCTTTAATTCTGTGCTTTGACAATGTCTTTGTCTCTTCTGTTCCTCCAGTTGCTTCATGAATATTGGATGGCTCTGAGGAATCGTGTGTCTGCTGTTGATGAACTTGCAATGGCTACAGAGCGTCTAAGAGTTCGTCATCCTGGGGAGCCAAAGCCCAACCCACCTGTCCTTCACATCATTGAACCACATGAGGTAACTTGCAAGTAAACCACAGAAAAGAGCACAGCAAATAGGTATCACAAAAACTCCAAGATTCATGAAAGAGAGGGCAGTGAACTCTTCAATAAGTATGTATTTAATCTCTTATTTTTATTAATATGTTTTTATTGATTTTAGAGTGAGGGGAAGGAGAGGGATAGAGAGAAGCAGCGATCACCTGCCTACTGCACGCCCTCTACTGGGGATTGAGCCCGCAACCTGGGCATGTGTCCTGACCGGATGACCTCTTGGTTCATGGTTCGATGCTCAACAACTGAGCCACCCCAGCTGGGCAATTCCTCTTATTTTTATATTCCTTTTTTGTCAATTATATTCTACTGAGAGAGGTCATAGAGAAGATGGGGGCATGGAGGTTCTTCTCTGGATTTCTTAAAATCACTCTGGCCAGAGTAGCATATCATTTCATTTTTCTTTATCCTATGGATGTACTACTGAAAAATGGTACACACATAGAATTTTCTTTTTTTGTGTGTTTTTTTTTTTTTAATCCAATTTCAAGCGTATAGGAGAACTTCCTATTTAAAACATTCTACATTGAGTTTTAGGCAAAATATATATATA